GATGCTTCCCTCCCTCCCTCTCCTCTTTGCTTTGCTGCTCTGTCTGTTTGTGAAACTGCTTCTGAGCCTCTCTTGCATCTTCTGAACCATAATTATGGACTTGATTTGATCAGTTGGTCCCTCAACTCAATTTACAACATTTCTTGAAGAGAAGACAGGCTTTAGTCGAGACGATTTGCCCTGTTGGCACGCACGCAGCTGGATATCTCATCGACTTGAAGACTTGATGATGTGTCTATCTCTGCTGCCATCTGTGGATTTTAAGGACACATATTTAATTGGATTTACGATAACTGGTTCCTGCTTTTTGGATTTGGCTGGTTGCTGGTTTATCTACAATCAAAGAAGTTGTCAGCAGCAAATTTTGGACCCGATCACGCTGCTTGCCTTTATGATGGCTTGGTTTGTGCCTCGAGTACCCAGACTCAAATGCTTTGGGCAGAATGGATCAGATCTCGGGGATTTTACTCAGTCACGTTCCATCAGTGTGGCCATGTGTTTTGGACATTTCAGAACCGAGTGGACCAACACAGACTCAAGGTAGATGTCATTAAGTTCTGCCTGTCCCCAAAACATCTGTGTGTTTATCTGAATTTGGCTCCCTTGGCTGGTCTTGAAGGCCATCTTATCTGAATTCACCTGGAGAACATGTGATCTGACATTCTGCGCCACGCCCCCTGCACCCCCCCCCCCCATCACAGAATTCCAACTGATAACCAGATGAAACCAGCTGAATAAACTTTGTGTCGTCATTTCAGGACTCTTGGATTCTCATAGACGTTGTCCTTGGCCATTCCTCGACATCCCTCGAGAATGTTTATGGATCTCACCGGAGGACATTGACTGATTATTCCATCTTTATCAGAACTCTTACAGTGACCTCGAGTGCATCCTTGGACATTGCTCACCGCTCTCGTCTCCCCCTCTGCAGAATGTCTATGTCACTATGTCCTTGTTTGTGCGAGGTGTTCTTTAATATTAGAGTTTTTCTTTTCAGCCAAGAAGAAAAAGTTTAATAGGAATTTTTTCACCTCCAATTCCTACACATGTCCAGTTTCACTACTTTTTTGTCTGTCTAAACAGATCTCACTTGTAAATGAGTCTTCTAGGCTCACAGTCACAGTTACAAGGTGTTTCCTAACATTCAGGGTTAGACAGGATCTGTTTCTGAAAAAGAAACCCAGTTTAACTTTCAGTTTCTTTACCAAGTTTTCCA